TGCGTGCACATTTGGGCGGCATTATGCTAATATTTCCACATAGTGAGGTAGATATGTGGGGGCGTGTTAGAACCAGCCGTTTTAGGTAGGCGTGGCTAACCCTTAACTTTTATAAAGAATATCTCTTTGGATTTGAGACTTTAGTCTTTGCAACTTTACAGATCTTCTTTATGCACCAAGAGCTTGTAACACTCCAAAGAGAAAGGAAAAATTTTAATCGCATCATGTGACCCCTTTAAGTAACATGAAAGGCCTTGACCTGTATGTAATTTACAGTAATATATAATACATTCATTGTCACTTTACACTTTATGAAGGCTATTATAGCACATTGCTGATTTTATTACAGACTCACAGTGACTCAGCTTTTATCTAAAAGCCATCTAGCGACTTATTTCAGTATTACAGTTTAGATGCTGAACATACAGTATGTTCATGTTGTTAATAACACCGAATATCTGCTCATATTTGAGTTCAGACAACACACATGCATAAAGACACCGACCTTATGATGTATATTCAACCTCAGTTATACTAGAATTTAAGAAACATTCAACAGTTTCAACAGTGACATTGTGCCAAGTTCCTAAGTAAACTTCATATATTCTGAATCATGCGAAAGTAAATGTTTCCAGAGTTCAGACAATAACATCACACTGTATGGTGACTTTTAGTGCAAGACTGTGTTCCTGGAGTTCATGATTCATTTCTCATTAATGTCTCAATTAAACACAGTAATGATGCAGCAATACAATCACTGATTATCTGTTGATGTAGCAGAACTTCAGTATAATAACTCTAGCAACAGTGCAGAAAATATACATTTATTTGTAATTTGTTCATCAGGGAAATACCTCATAGACTATTAAAGTGGCAATACTTTGAATGCCGTAAATATGATCCAAATAATACTGCACAACCTAATATAAACGTAAAACAACACTGAGGCGCATATAAATAGGGCAATTCCTGTCTGTGAAGATAAATTGTAAAGTACGGGGTGTCCTGACCTGAACTGAAAACACATGCGTGATGGCACGTAAGGGTCACGCCCACAGCCATAGAGGCTGTTTCTATGGCTCTGGTCACGCCCCCTTCACTGAAAAGGAAGTCGCTTGAAACGCCTATTTCTTCAAAAGAAAACTTCTGATGAAAACGTATGATTTCATATATACATATAAATAATTACACGTTGTTGTTTTTCAATTGTAAGAATTTCTTTTGGGACAAAATTTTATAATAAAAAAAAAAATTATATTCCAAAAACGATTTGTTCTTGCTACGCCAGACAGTCATTTAAAAAAAAAAAAAAAAAAAAAACATTTTATTTTGTAAAAACGGATTGCCGTGTTGTTGTTTTTTCAATTGTTAGAATTTCTTTTGGGACAAAATGTTATAATTAAAAATATATATATATTCCAAAAACGAGTTGTTCTTGCTACGCCAGACAGTCATTTTTTATTTTTATTTTTTAATTTTTTTCAGACAGTAATTTAAAAAAAAGCATTTTATTTTGTAAAAACGGATTGCCGGTATAGCCACGTCACTTTGACGTAGGACGTGTTACATCACTCTTCCCGTGCACGCAGACAGTCACGCACACCAGCTGTCGACCGGCAGAACTCGAGCAGTTCACTTCAGCGTGTTGCAGAAAACTTCATAAATAGGTCTGTTATGAATTTTATTTAATATCTGAATGTTTTGCCAATATTATATTTTGATAACAGAGAACGACAGTGATTTTGCCTGCTTTCTTCGTACTAATGTAACAGCTGACTCTTGAGAAAATGTCGCATCTTTTAATTGAAAGCTGATAAGATGAGGTCTAGCAAAAGACTGTCGTTGCTGTTTATATTTTATTACATATGTACATCAATTCTTCGTGTAATATCATTTGATATTAAGTGGCCTCTGTGCATTGTTTGACCTTCATATAGCATGCCATTAGTATCTCTTTTGCTCCTAAAGTCATGATTCTAACTTTTTGTTTTTAAATAAATAAATAAAATAAAAAATATCTTACGTTGTACAGTACAATATGGTTCATAATTCAGAATCTCCTAATATGTGTGAGTCTGCAATAACTTTATTCTTTACTAATTTATTGGCCAGTTTGATAAATTAATGTCTAATTGATTATTTGACGAGGCAACTTATAAACCTGTAACAGCACATAATATAATAGTAATCGAGAATGTATTAGTGTAAAAAGTTTCAGAGAATGACACTGTGGCGTTTATGACATCTAATAATTTTTTTAATATTGCCTTTTAGCCAAGACGACTGCCATGGAATACGAAGACAATGAATCCAAGTTTATCAGAAAAGCCAAAGAGAATCCATTCGTCCCTGCAGGTAAACCATCCAAGCATTATACCTTGTTCAGTTTGTTCAAGTCACATGGCTTTATATTAATGCACAAAAATGCAAAACATTATCACTTACGATGACCTCAGACGTGTGTACCCTACTGTACATAAATAACATCACCCTAACGGTTTCGTATATATACTGTGATGTCTCTTAAGGGATGGCTGGGTTCTTTGCCATTGTGGCGTACAGACTGTTCAAACTGAAGAACAGAGGAGATACGAAGATGTCAGTCCACCTGATTCACATGCGTGTGGCTGCGCAGGGCTTCGTGGTGGGAGCCATGACTTTAGGTACGAGGCCTTCCTAAAGATTTACACATGCATCCCCATAACTGCAGAGAAATTGTTTAATGTGATATTTTGTCTTTTTGTTTGCAGGAGTGATCTATTCTATGTACAGAGAGTACATTCTCAAACCCGCCGAAGCACAGAAAGCGTTAGAGCAGAAGGCATTGGAAAAAAAGTGAAGAGAAATGTGTTAGATTCCCGCGATATCCTTAATAGCAACTTTTAAGGTGTCCTTTTGTATTCAGTGCTAACATAAGAACTTAAAAAAAAAAAAAATGATTTAAACCGTTTCCTTTTTAAACTTCAATAATCCTCTGAAAAAGAGGTAGGGTTAGGTTAGGGTTAGGTCAAATAATGTCATATTTGCATTACAAATTACATAACTGAGCGAATGACACTTAATGACAGTTGTCATAAACATGCATAAAACCTCCTTCATATTCATGACATGTGTCGTGTCATGATTATGAAGGTGCCATGTCAGTCTTATGCACACCCCTTCAAGTAAAGTGTTACCAAAAGAGGTTTGCGTTTTCATTATGTTGCCTGGCGTGTTTGGGAAACATTGTACAGTATGTGACAGAACTGTAGCTATTTTGCAACCGCCACCTACTATTTATTTATCATAGCTGATGAAAGCAATCTACATTTTTTTGGTTTTGTTTTGTTTATTACTGAAAATATTTGGATTAGTATAATTCATGCTAAATGCTGCAGCTCTTATGTCGATGTTGTGCCCGAGTTTCAGCACAGAGGTGTGGCATTAAGACCTTTGTACCTTGTAATTCAAGATTCGTTCTTGTATCATTTAAGTCAGCAGACAAAATAAATTCCAGGACAACAACCCTAACGAACCATCATCTGAAATTTTACAATGCACTGAACACAATATAGGGTCTTCCCCACACTGCAAAACTATTAACGGGTCTAGTTCTTTGCAGATGTAGCGCTGTTGTTACAAACAGGATCTTCAGGACTTCAGCAACTCTGTTGTTTTTGCTTCTATCGTTTTCAAGTGTGCATGTGTGTGAGTGTCATGAGGAACGAGAGGAGCTATTGATTGTGTTGCTGCATGAAATTATGCTTGCACCTTTTTCGTATTTCAAAACCAAATCACAAAATTATACTTTTAGAGTGATATATATTTTGACGATCTCAGCTACCACTGCGTTTAACTTTAACTATTGTAATTCCAATAAACACTTCTGGTTATTTCCCACTCGTGTGTTACTGTGATATGTGTGTTTCGCAGTCCTGCTCCTGGAGACTCAGTATACTGTCATACCACTCTCACTTATTCTGTGGTGTATATAGTGTGTATACTGAATACAGTATGTCAGCTTTCTGCATTGATGCCATATCATAGTGTCAGTTTTAAAGGACATTCTACTATAATACAGGATCCAAAATGCTTCTTTGACTTGGCCTTCCGTTTCCATTGGGATAAATTAACCGTGATCTCCACGTTTACTCATTTTTTGATTAGACTGACAAAACATTTTTACACAAAATGAGTTCTTCAAGGTGAATATTGAGGTTTGCTGCAGTAGTTCTGTGTTGTTTGGAAACAGTCCGCAGTGTTTGACACTCCCTAACATTCGCTATAAGATTTTATAGCATAAAATACCAGGTTTATTGTAAAGCTACATTAGAAAACAAGAGCAGGGAAAAGAAAAAAAAAACATTTATTATTATTAATTTTTTATCTGATACATGCAATTGATTTCTTGACTATTTTTGATATTATAGGAGTATGATAGATGTTCTTAGGTGATTGTATTGGACAAATTATAGGGGAAAGATTAAACGGAATTGCATGAATTCAATTTTTATTCAATAAAATATTAACACCTTTGTGGAAACAGAAAGACGGGTATTTTCATTATTATATTCAGTAGTATAAGAATGAATGAGAGAACTTTGTAAGTTTGAACTGCATACACAATGTTCTCACAGACATCACCTAATTATATAATTCAGATTTCATCAAAGCTTATATGAACTATTGAAACAGCCCGTCACACCCAGCAACTGCAAGATAATCACCAACCATTTTCTGCCATCTGTATTTATTACATTTAATCATTTCACAAGACAACAAGTGACACTTGGCAGAAAGGCCAGTCACCAGTGAGTGATACAGCTCGGGATTTGTAATGACCACATAATCAGGGCCAGTTTAACATTTAACCCAAAGGACGGTGCATTGTAGCACTCCGCAGGGTTTAGATCTGTACATACAGTAGATGCTGCTGCTGTAGTCTGTAGTGTAAGATATTTTGGACTGGAAGGCCTTTCTTTGGTACCATCTCATTGAGATTCAGAACAAAGATGAACGAACACTTTCCCAGGATCTGAGACTGATTTAGCAATTACAAAATTAAGACCTAAGCACGCAGGACAAATAAAACAATGTGAAATAGATGTTACATGTATAATGATGACACTATGCAAACTTTGAGGACATTCTAGGCAAAAGGCTCTTAATTGTGGAAAATGGTTCTTCAGATTATTACAATGTTGGTTCTTTTAAGAACTGATCACGGAAAGGTTCTTTGGGAACCAAATGTTGTTCTTGTATGGCGTCACTGTGAAATCCCCTTCTTGAGCCTTTATTTTCAAGACTGCAATGCCATAGAAGAACAATTTTTGGATCCCTAAAGAACCTTTCAGTGAACAGTTCTTAAAAGAACCATTTATTCTTAGTGTGAAGAACATTTTTAAAAATCTTAATCCACTACAAAGAACCTTCTGTGGAATGGAAGCATCGATGCCAGTAAAGAACTTTTATTATTTGAAGTGTAGCACTATCCATTCCACAAATTGGACAGTAATGGTATGTTAATTGTAGTTTGACACAGTTAGGCCGAGCTGGATGATGGCGAGAAATGAGAATCCAGAGGATCTTCTGATGGTTAGACTGGTTTCTGAGTAACTCAATCATATCTCAGTAAAAGATATTGTGAGTATCAAAGGTACTTTCAGTGGACAGTTTATGGTGGATAATGTCAGCGATGGATTACACATCTCTGATAACCGGTTTAATCAACTAGTAATCAACCACAAATGTGAGCAATGTGTTTTCTCAGGCCCCTTCAACACAGGTCGAAACCCACTGTTAATATTAGGAAAACTACAGATTTTGTGTTTCATAGACGGAAAACAGTACTGTAACTGATGAATCACAATCAAGATTCATTAAAAATGGTCATATAAGATTAGTTTTGGATATTTTTTTACTATTCAGAAGTGATTCATGATCATGGCTTTATATTATTCCTAGATTTCTAAAGCATTCAACACTCTCTATAAAGATGTTCTTTTAAGATGTTAAACGACACTTCCCCTAGACTTAACATTTCTAGAGGAATTAGCCTATGCGGGGATGTCCTGACTCAGTTTCTTGCAGTCAAAGCCATTACTTTTGTTTGATAAAGAATTAAAAACGAACTCAGCAGTTCTACACTCTTCATTCACAATGAAAGTCGGATTCCCGTGGCTATTGAATTCATTGGTGAAAGGACATCTGGTTTGACAATATCAGTCGTTGTTGTTATATCCTGAGATGATAATATATGTTATATCTCTCTCACTCTGATAAGGATGAAAATTTAGTTAGTTAGTTTTGTTGTTTTGGCCTTTTCCCACCCCTGAAGTTGTAGTTCTTGTAAATAATCTGTTCCAGTTTAGGTTGTGATGGGGTCCTAACAATGTAATCTTATTCGTATTTGAAATTTCATATTCACAAATGTACATTTTCTTGAAAAAAAAAAAAAAAGTAAGATATTTAAAAGATAAAAGATTTATATCCATTCAAAAAGCTAAAGAACAATATATAGGCCAGACGACTTTCTATGAAACAAAACTTGTAAATTCTGTCTAATTTCTTATATTTGAATATAGACATGTATTAAGCTCTCACTAATGTACAAATGTCTGTGTTACATTCCTGCTGTTATGAATTATTCCTAACAAGTGACTTATTATTTTACAACTAATACAACATGACGCGTCTCTGCATGCACTTCCTGCTACTCTCAGCAAAAAGGTACAAAAGCTGTCACTGGGACGGTTCCCTTTCAAAAGGTACACCTTTGTACCTTATTTACCCATAAGGCGTGCATTTTAGTATCTTAAAGGTACATATTAGTACCTCAAGTGTACATATTAGTATCTAAATTATACATAGTAATAACTTTTGAAAACGTACCGCCCCAGTGACATCTTTTGTACCTTTTTTTCTGAGAGCGTGTAACGCGTTTCCACGGAGACGGTCGTGTATACAAATGGACGGGAAACTTTAACATCAATTAAATCACGGACTATACTCTCTTAGCTCTATTTTTATACTTTATAACCATAACCATGTCAATTGTAATGTTAATTCTCAACTAAGTTGACCGGAATCTTTCTTAATTCGTCCGGTAAGTTTTTGTTCAGGTTTAAACTGACCGCTTGAGAATCATCTCCGGACAGTAATGTTAGATTTTGAATAGTTTGTATGATAAAGGTTAAACGTTAATTTGTCTAAAATAATCGACATTGCTCTAATATTATACATATATGCTTTATGGAAGCTGATAGTAAGCAGTAGGAGTAGTAGTAGTAGTAGTAAAAATAATATTAATAAATATAGCTGCAAGCGGCAATCACGGGGCCAAGCACTCCAGAGGCAAATTGAGGAGCTAAGCATGGCATGGAGCATCAGACCAAATGCGACAATGAGTAATAAAAGCAATTTTAGGATGATTGTAATTGAAATGGCTGAAAAATCATAAATACAACCACTAGTAAGATGATTAAATGGCTTATCAGCTTTGACCAACAGGTGGCGCTGCAATCAAATCGTTTTAGTGTGTTCTGTGTGAGGTGACAATGGCACATACAAGGTTTGTTGTCATTATGTCAAAGCTTTGAAGAGATATAGTCTCTGAGTCATTTTGGCACCATACCTAAAATTTGTAGCAGCGCTGTACCAAAACGGTTTCGTCTATCGACACGAAATCCATAACTTTCTGTCAGCACAGTCTGAAGATCATCTGACTCGATTTTGGTGAAAATCGGACCAACGAGTGGCGAGGAGTTAAAAAAAGTAGGTTTTCAACATAAATCAAAATGGCGGACAGGAAGTTCAGCATACTCTGGCATATTTGGTATCCATGTTGTAGGCATAAGCCAAGGAATATTTTGATATCAGCTTCATTGCAATAGGCTAATGCAATCAAAAGTTATTAGCATGTTTGGAAATTTCATAATTAATAATAAATCAATGGTTTATTACTCTTGACCAATACGTGGCGCTGTTACCAAATTGATGTGGCATAGTCAATGTGAGGTGACAATGGCACATACAAAGTTTGGTGCAAATACGTCAAAGCTTTGCAGAGATACAGCCTCATATGCATTTTGGCATCTTAACCAGCAAATTCGTTGATGCTCTAAACGAAAACCGTTTCGTATATCGACACGAAATCCATAACTTTTTGCCAGCTTGGTCTGAAGATGATCCGAGTCAAATTTG